TTCATAAATTATTCTGTTGTCTTGACACTTTTAAGCTGCTAAACAAGAATTAAGCTGCTAAACAAGAATTAAGTTGCCAAACAAGAATTAAGCTACAAAACAAGAACTCCACTTTATCAATACGAACAAAACGCAAAGCTTACCGACTTACAACAGAGATTCAGCTTCAAGACATTACAACAGCATAACCAGCCTCTTCAACGACTTTGAATTAACTGTGTTACTCAACTACGCTATGTGCTACCAAATACCATTAAATCTTACACCAATAGAACCTATAACGAGCATTCTAATTTAAACTTTCTGGCTGACTGGTTAAATAACACTTATTACCCGCCAATCACGTCAAAGTTTGGGGAGTGTTTATACCGTAAATTCGTTTCACTCCGTCTAATGCCTTAACTTGGGATGACAGTTCAGTATATTAAACTCCCTTATATAGGCAACTTAAGCCTTTAGATTAGTAAATAATATTGTGAGAGAGTCGTTACGGCAATTCAACTTTGTTTTTATTAACCGATACATAGTCCGGCGGCCTTCACTACTGGTGTAGCGCCTAACGGGCCTGCCCTGGTGTGTACTGCTGCCCCCGAGCGAAGTCCTGCCTCATCTTCACACGTGGTGCCTCAACCTGTCCTCCACCCACCGCAAGCCGCGCCCTCTACTGTGTCTGAGCTGTCTCCACCAGGGCTACCTATTGGACCTGAGGACACCATCCCCGGCTACCTGTACCCCACAGGCATGTCGACGTACACGCCATCACAATCACACTAAATGGTATGTCCCTCAATATTGTCAATGCTTATAGCCTGGCACTTGGCATTATTAGGGACCTGCCACTCTTTGCCATAAACAGATAAATAGTACCGGGAACTCTCACCATTCTGTCACTTTATGTAACTTGCTGACACAACCCATGACCCTTCAGGCTTTTACGCCCTTAATGCACGAGTCATAAAGGCAAGCATGAACTCCGCATACTTCCCAGATGGGCACATTAAACGCTTCTGCGCTTCACCTTGCACAGGATGTAAGGGGGTGCCCAATAAACTAGCCCCCTCGGGGAAAATCTAAACAAAATCTCGAGGATGTTTAATATTCAGATGTAAAAATATGGGATTCCTAATCTTCAGATGATTCTTCATAAAGGCTGTTCCAGTACATTATAAACTACAACACCACATCGAGTCCTGCTGACGAATGAGGCCTAGTCAACCATTCGGTCAGTCATAAGTGCTGACATTCGCGCCCTCACCCTCAAGATGAGACAGATAGATACTCAGTAAAAAATCCTCAATATTTCATCCATTTCCTTTTAATCTTCACCAGGGTTTATTTCATCTTCGTAACGAACTATTGTGATATAATTTATACACCATTCTATTTCTAACCCTCTATCGCCAATCGCATCTGTGGAACATTTAAAACATTAATTTCCCGTAGCAAGTCACAGTTTATCGTAGTTCCTCTTCTCTCTCTCTTTTTATTAAGATCCGTTCTTTGTGGATTTATTTTCGTATGGGATGAATGATTCTAATTTATTTTATTCATTATGTATTTTCTTGTTTTACATTCTATTGCGGTGTTTTATTTATTTTATAATTTATTCTCTTCGCCACTCATTGGATTTTTTTATTTATAGTAATATTATGTAGAGGATTATAATTGGATATTTTTAGGCATGTATGGAGAGAGAGAGAGAGAGAGAGAGAGAGAGAGAGAGAGAGAGAGAGAGAGAGAGACTCACACCTGACCACCACAACTACCTGCTCACACGGTCGGATCTAGACATAAAAACCTGCTCTATAGAACAGAAGTGATGCCATACTGTATGACGGTGCGAATAATGTCTTAACACACCCATACTTAACACAACCTTTTAAAACTCAAATTGAATCGAACTTCACTATAGAGCAACAACTATTGGAACTTAAAACTAACCACAAGAGAATAAACTGAATCAGAAGTTAATTGTTGAGTTAAAAGTCAATTTTATAGTTTCTACCCTAAAAAAAATATATATATTTACACAAACTAGCAACTGTTCCTATAGGTTGCCATATATGGCGTGTAGGATATTTTCTAATTTAAATTGATTTACCGGTATATGTAAAGCAATCAGAGCAGCAACGCTCGCAAGGCTAAGCAAAGACAATCTAATTGCTGTTGTTGTTGTTGTGTCTTTGTATATAATTCTTACTAAATCAGCGGTTTCAATGTCTAATGCGTGTTAACATAATTGACAGACGACAAATCATTTTTACGAGACATTAGTTCCACTTCCTTCACCGCCTGAAACAACACTTATCATTATTCGGTCGGCTCATACACCTCCCTAGACGTTTAGATCAAGAAGTGTGAGACAGGTTACGACACGACTGTAGATCACCTGAAGATTCGTCTCCCAAGCTTATTTTACCTGATTCGTCCCCCAGCTTATTTCCCCTGAGCATTCGCCTCCCAGCTTATCCACCCCCCTCACACACACACTATCAACATCTCCTGTACAACACCCCCCACCCCAACTAAAAACAGCATCGCCCCCTCCCACCCTCCTGAGAAATTCTAACATAGACCCATATACTGGACACTTCTGGGTGACCTACAGGTTACACGCGCGGTCAGTAACCTTTCTCACACACACACTGAACCCGGAGGCAAACTAACTCTATACTTCAAGTACATTAGGCAGTACTACAGATGTGTCTGTGCTATCGTGGTAAGTAGCCCCTCGAGGATCTTATTTTACCTGATGATTAAACACCTTAATTACGCTAGTCTGTACAAGTTAGGTTATTGTGTTGGTAGCCCTGTAAGGTGTGTTGGTAGCCCTGTAAGGTGTGTTGGTAGCTCTGTAAGGTGTGTTGGTAGCCTTGTAAGGTGTGTTGGTAGTCCTGTAAGGTGTTGGTAGTCCTGTAAGGTGTGTTGGTAGTCCTGTAAGGTGTGTTGGTAGTCCTGTAAGGTGTGTTGGTAGCCCTGTAAGGTGTGTTGGTAGCCCTGTAAGGTGTGTTGGTAGTCCTGTAAGGTGTGTTGGTAGCTCTGAAAGGTGTGTTGGTAGCCCTGTAAGGTGTGTTGGTAGCCCTGTAAGGTGTGTTGGTAGCTCTGTAAGGTGTGTTGGTAGCCTGTAAGGTGTGTTGGTAGGTGTGTTGGTAGTCCTGTAAGGTGTGTTGGTAGTCCTGTAAGGTGTGTTGGTAGCCCTGTAAGGTGTGTTGGTAGCCCTGTAAGCTGTGTTGGTAGCCCTGTAAGGTGTGTTGGTAGTCCTGTAAGGTGTGTTGGTAGCCCTGTAAGGTGTGTTGGTAGCTCTGAAAGGTGTGTTGGTAGCCCTGTAGTGTGTGTTGGTTTCTGGTTACAAGGTAGCTGTCCACCGTAGCATCACTGGACATAATACGTTGTGTGTGTACCATTGCTCTCCTTAAGGCATAGATAAGGGTTTTATCTCTCAACTCTTAACAAAGTAACGTAATATCAGTGTGTGTGTGTGCAATGGCTAGCCTGGGGGTCACTTAAGAATGAATTTGTTGAAGCGGTAGAAGCTATAGCCAACACAATATCGCCTTCGGGGCACGTCTTGTCTCACTGACGGTTGCCAAGTGGTGGCGTTTGAGGAGATGTCCCCTCAGAACGGGCATGAACAACAGGTAAATAACTGACCGGCCGCGCCACCAAGCTTCCTCTCTTTACATCCTACAACCAAATATTCTATCTATACTTTCTACCTCTAAATCCCCCCATTACACCCCCCCCCCCACACCACCCAACACCCACCCCCACACCCCCACACACACCCATGACACCCCCACCCCCCACACACACCCACCAGATATGGGTGTGTGGTACAAGTGACTTAACTAACACACACGTACAGTATAGGGTAATCACTACAGACATCCAAAGCTCACGTATGCTGTATTACACTCCTGACCACCTCAAGCTTAGACACCCCAGCTTATTTATCCTGAAGATCAAAGCTCCTAACAGTAACCTAACCTAACCCCCAGGTAACATTAAGGTGCATTAATTATCAGGTCTTTATAATACAGGTTGGTAATAGATCTATCATGGTTGTTCCTACACACACACACACACACACACACACACACACACACACACAGCCACTCGTAAATCAAGTATTTTCATTCTTAAACCACTAGTCATCGTATATAAAAACAGCACCAGAAGATTAGCCCCCCCCAAGCTTAAGATAACAATTACCACAGGTCAGTCATAACACGTCCACATTACCACAGGTCAGTCATAACACGTCCACATTACCACAAGTCAGTCATAACACACGTCCACATTACCAGAGGTCAGTCATAACACGTCCACATTACCACCACAGGTCAGTCATAACACACGTCCACATTACCACCACAGGTCAGTCATAACACACGTCCACATTACCACCACAGGTCAGTCATAACACACGTCCACATTACCACAGGTCAGTCATAACACGTGCACATTACCACAGGTCAGTCATAACACACGTCCACATTACCACCACAGGTCAGTCATAACACACGTCCACATTACCACCACAGGTCAGTCATAACACTCGTCCACATTCTCATCTGAAACACAACTTCACAATGTCAATATATCTTGAGGTGGTGTGATCAGCTTACATGAATAGCGTCACTAACTCTGAGAATTGGTAGCAGCGCCATTGAGTATACAGTAGGTAGTAGCAAGAATCATAATTATAATGGCTATAGTCCTTGGGTAGTACAACTAGTGCCTCGGATTACATGTCGCAACGCTACTGAGCCGATCCAGTACCGATTTGAATCCCGTACCAAAAAAAATTCACGAAAAATCTTAAATAAATTAAAATATCGCGATACATTTAGAGATAGTAAACACACCAATAAAAAGAACAATAAATACGTTAGTTCATACGATAGACCTCAATGCCCTTACGTCAGCTTGACCCAAAGCAACGCATAACAAGATGCTGTATGGAACTTGTGGAGGAATGACGATTAAATACCACTTACCCGGATGGAACATGTTGGCTTCGGCTGCTCTGATGTCGAGGCGTCACAAGAGAGAAAAAATCCGAAGACGAGTAAGTGAAGCAAATCTAGTGGTCGAGATGCCGCCGCCATTCCACACACTAACATCCACTAAGTCTGGAAGACGAAGAGTTACTGACTGTGCGACTTAGATAGTGCGACTGGGTAGTGGGTGCTGTCTTGGCTTGGTAGTTGGCTAGCTGGTCGCGGTTGACATTATAACCTCCTCCCGTACTATGATGGGCCTTTGTAAACAATATATTAAACAGACTAACCACATAAATACACAAGGTTGGGTTAGGGTGAACTTAGTTATTATATAAAAGTCTAATAGCTACATAAAAAATCATTACAAATTACTCTAGTGGTTAGTAGCAACAATCATATAGTAGGGTTGCTAGACGCAGCTAGAATCATTATCTTTTGTTCATTTCTAAGCACAAGGGGGAAAAGGTCCATATACATTATCACTTGTGTATGAGGGGGAGGGGGGGGGCATACACACGTGACGTTTATTACCATTTTGCGATAATAAGTAACTGTGTGAGACGTGGTTTGTATGGCACTCTTGTCCATTAGCATTTCTGTGTACGTCAATATCCCCTTTTGTGTATTTTATCATTAACTGTGTATGTGTGTGTACGTTATTCCTGTATGCACCGTATTTCACTTCCAGGTGTGATGCGTATTACACCTATCTCATTAGTGTTATACGTTTTAAGGTTAGGTTCGGTTAGGTTGAATCCTCGTCCTCCCAGCTATAAATTGGTCTTTAACTTTACAGATGAGGGAGTGATGGCGATCGAGTGCAGTACCAGCCATGGTGTGTGTGCTCATTGTGCTGTATATCACCATACACATTGCATTATAGATTTTAACATTTGAGATAGATAGATAGACATAAATTCATAGACACAGACAGGCAGATAAACAGAAAGTTGTAAGTAGGAAAGAAATAAAAACCTGTTTCTTGTCGTTGGTTAAGTATCAAAAACTCATAAATTATTCCTTATATCTAACTGTTGATGTTTAAAATTCTTGTTATATATTTGGTTAGGTTAGATTGGCTTAGCTTAGATTGGACTGGTTTGGCTTCGATTGGACTGGCTTGGCTTCGATCGGGCTGAGTTGGATTAGATTAGGCTACAGTAGGTATGGTTTAGATTAAGTTAAGTTAGGTTAGGTTTGGTTAGGTTACATTAGGCTTGGCTAGGTTACACAAGACCTTAGTTGTTGAAGAGCAGTAATTAATCCGAGAATCAACCGTGGTAGATAAAACAAAAACATCTAAAAAGACAATAACTAGTGACGGCTGAGGAAACTTGAAAATGTATTAAGGAGACTGATGGTGAACCCTTAGAGGAAACAGCAGTGTCTGGGTATAACGGAGAAATAAAACTGGTGCTACGATAGGCATAAAGAAAGAGGTTTTAGTGACCGATTGTAAATGTGATTCACCATTAATAGGAAGATTTAAAGCGTAGTGAAGATTACTTTAAAGGCAGGATATAGAGATGACAATAATTGCTAGGGAAAGATAAAAAAAATAATCATTACGGAAAAGAAAAGATGAATCAAACAATTAAGCTACAGTAGACCGTTCAATAGTGAGATGCTTCCCCGTCGGCACCCCGTCTGGTCCCTGAGATACGTTAAAGACTGTCAGTTAATTATAATTTACCAGAGGGGACCACCAGACTGGTGCCTGTACTACGGCACCTCAGTTACCCAGAGAGATTAGAACGCCTGCATTTACCTAGCTTATACTAGGCAAGCAAGGGGTGACTTAATATAAGTCTATAAACACCTCAGACGGCACTAAGTCGACTGATCATGCCTGGAGCTGGCGGACGCCCGCCCCTGAAGGAAGAAGCTACAGCACAGGTTCAGACAATTGCCAGGGCAAACTTTTTGGAGTGGGAGTTGTGAACTGCTGAAACAAGCTGCCGGAGAGTGTTGTGACGGCACTGAGTATGAGCTCATTCAAGACCAGACTTGACCAACACTGGTTCAGGAACAGATACATTCAGGAGCCAGTACATGCCCAGTACTTGCCAACAGTGCGTAAGAGAGACGTGACTGACCGCCCAAACGGCTAATGAGCCGATCAGTGGCGAAGAGGATAACGTAAAGTAAAATAAACAATTTGGGTAGTCAGCCAGATGCCCCTCCCTCACTCACCCGCTGCTGCCACACTCAGATGTCCTTGTTCACCTTGGTGGGACAGCCGTGTACAGACCAATCATCCCAGCAGATGGCCGACGCACCTCGTATTTTCTCTGCAAGATAATACAGATATGTGTTTATCTCTCATCCCAACACGACTCAGAAATTTTTATGAGAAGCACCAAGATAAATAACTGGGTTGTTAAAATTATATTACGTACTGAAAATACTCGAGTGATACAGAGTATTTCTTTGTTTCTATCACCCAGCACACACTTGTTGTTGGGCAGATGGTTACATTGATTCTGTATGTATATAGATAAGTGCAGGTATACAGTACACTATATAAACAGTAGAGGTATGTAGATAATGTGCTTAGACTGAGCCGGTATACAATGGATATAGACAGTGTAGGTATATAAACAATGTGTGCATTTACTGTGGAGGTATACAATGTGAAGTAACTGACTGTGCAGGTATATTTGGTTGTTGTTTTAAAAAATAATACTATTTGTATGTAACTGATCAAATATTGTCTAATTGTGTCCGTGATTATTCTATCAGATGAATATTACTGGTACGCAGGTATTTAAACAACTATTAAAAGATGAGATGTACACTCACTTCAAAAATTATGTTTATGGACGGATCTGGTGAATTGTAAAATGGTTGTGAAAATCCTTTGTCCATGATGTCATATTAAAGTTTTAAGATGCCTTTTCATTGTGTACCTTAAATAGCCTTTTATTATATGACCGTTATCGTTTTGGTATACGTATAAAAGATTATTACAATCATTAAGAACTTTCACTTGTGCTACACGACTCGATGTGGCCGGACATAAGGGGTTGTCGGGGCCTGGAGATAGGTTCTTACACAACCATTTTGGGAACAGGATACTTGTGGTTAACGTGATGGGAAGAATTCATCTTTGTCTCAGGCAGTTAATTTCAGATCTCAGTAGTGATAGTAAGATATTCAACCTTAGAAAATATATAAATTGCAGCTGCTTGCTTAGTCATTAAAAAAACAAGTTATACACAAAACTGACTCACTCAGCTAAGCAGAAACCTAGGCTCTGTTGTTTTGGTTATTGCATCAAAAGTTATTCACTGAAATGTTCTCCATGTGAACAACAAACACAGCAAAACACATTAGTTGAGCATTTCTTGTGGTACACCTGCGAGTCCCATTATACAGCTGAGGCCTGATGACTTGTGGCTACATTATCTTAATTAGATTAAGCTCCACCAGTTGTTGCATCTTCTTTTGGCTGTCAGTGTTAAGGTCGTACAAATGAAGATGCCAATTACCCGCTGGAATGGCAAGACCTTGAAACCATCCTTCAATATCAGCTCAAACTTGAATATAAACAATGAACAAACACAAGTCAGTCTTTTAGCCGTGTTGTCAAGTCTCTTAGACAGCCTGAGGTGTGTGGGGGGTGGGGGGTTTAGAGATGCAGTCCATAATTCACAAGATACATTAATCCACTACACATCAGGTGAAATAAATTGGGAGAGGCTGATCTCCAGGTGAACCAAATTAGCTATGAGTCGTCTTGATAATCATTGTACATACAGCATATATAACAAGGGTAAGTGTCGGGCATAACGAATGAGTAAGAGAGAGAACGATTGCACTCGCTAAAGCTACATTTAAATGGTTATTTTAGATTAGATTAGGTTAGCGTTTGATTAGGTTTGATTTTGTATGTTTAAGTTAGGATAAGTTAAGTTAGCGTTAGATAAGGTTAGGTTAGGGTTGCTTAATGTCTAGTTAGGTTAAGAAAAGTTTGTTTAGGTTATGTAAGGTTAGGGTATATTAACATCTGATTAGCTTAGGTGTGTGTGTGTGTGTGTGTGTGTGCGCGCGCGCGCGCGCGTGTGTGTGTGTGTGTGTGTGTGTGTGCGCGCGCGCGCGTGTGTGTGTGTGTGTGTGTGTCAGTAGTCTTCACAAGTCTACACACATCCTTACAGCCCTTCAAAGTTTCTCTGCCAGGACTTCACTTTCTTAATACTTTCTAAATTTGTTGATGCGCACTTTCTCTCCTGCAGTTTCTTCCGCCTTAGTGATGGCTCTTGTCCAATGTCTTCCTTTCCACACGAGAGAAAGTAAAGAGATTTTTCCTTCCAATATTGACCTCCTCACCTCCTCTAGTATGTCACCCTAACCTCCTCCAGTGTGACCTCCTGACCTCCAGCAATGACTTCCAGACCTCCTCCAGTATGATCTGACCTCCAGTTAACTGACCTCTATAATGGCGCACGTCTTCGTCTCCCTTCTTTAATTACTGAACTGTTTAATAATTTATATTTAATTAATCACGATTTCATATACTGGATGACCTGAGGATTAAACACCCTATTGCTAACCTAACCTAACCTAACGCTAACTATTGTCTTCCTCACCTACACCACATATCAAGAAGTGCTTAATACACTGACCCTCTCAACTCTCAGTTTAGGATGAAGCTCCTATACACAATCTTCGACCGGTATCTCTACACCACAACCGCATCCAGCCCTAACGACCACGTAATGTACTGACCGCTACAAGAACAACCTCATCCCAATCATTGTAAAAATCATCAACAACTTGTAGATAAACTTGTGCTCACCCCTAGCTTATTCTCCCCATTTATACTGTAACTACGCTGAAATTCTTTGTTAAATGACTCTCCCACCCATGCCTCTGTAATATGTACCACTAATGTCTTTTATACCTTATGGCTACTGTACTTTTTTAAACCATTAACTATTACACTTAACCTCAGTAATCGTACACTGTATAAGCAACGTTATGTTAGATTAGGTTAACGTTAGGGTAGTTAGTCATCAGGTGAAATAAGTTTGTTGGGGTAAAAGTTTTCAGGTTCGTGACACTGACTTCCTTAAATTCTGAATCGTTTGGTATATTCAGTTTGCTTATCTAACATGTAAAATATTACCGAGTCGTTTGGTATATACTGTACAGTCTACTTACTAGATATACTTAGGGAAAGATTAACTGAGGTTATTTTTGTCATATCATGTTCGCCCGTAAGCATAAGATGAGCAGTTTAGGAGCAAATTCTTAAAGGTAGTTAGGTTGAGTTCTTCTTGTTACTCATAATGGTAAGAGGCGTTAGATAAGGTTATTTAAGGAATTACGTAAATATTAGACATCCCAGATTATAGCACTTGATTATTGAACACCCTAACGTTAACCTAACTTACCCTAACATACCAAACGACAAGGAAGTCATATTGTCACTAACTGGTAACCTGTTATAGGTGGGGGGTTCTGTCACCTCAGCAGGACCAACCATTCCCACGCAAGCACTTCGAGATACTGCCCGCCACTACATAGGCTAGACCTCATGACAACCCAGAATTACAGCTAAATAACACAACAAACGCATTCCAGTGTTTTAACAACCAGTCAAGTCTTTTTTTATATGTATTATATTTTGTTACCTTGGCTGCTTTATGAACTCTTGAACTGATTGGCTAGTTGACTAGATGAGTGAGTGGATAATGTATTTCTTAACTGCTGCTTCACGCCAAGACCCCTAGTTGAGGCGGCGTCACACTGGCACCTTTTCCGTCATTTTCTTGAATGAATCTTCTAAAGCTGTACATTTTACAGGGTTCACCGTCAAACACACGCAGAGAATTAGCACACCAGTCTTTTCGCGTTCATCACTTGTAAACAGACCGCTCAATGTAAACAATCAGATTACTTTTATCCTGTTCGTCACTAATCAGCTCGGGCGGTCAGTCACGTCTTGGTTTTGTTCATGTTCTGTTGGCAAGTACTGATTACTGCACTGGCTCTTGAATACTATACTGAATACTGTAAAAATTACACTTACGCAATTTATTAAAAATGCGATGCTGGATATCTTTAAAATTTATTTTAATTATTTTGCGTAGCTCGATATTTATTTTACATAAATAGCCTCCTTATCGAGTATAGATCTTGACTTTGATCTCGGGAATTGGTGCAAGCCAATCAGGCAGAAACGATACTCTTCGTCTGAGCGAGACGCTCTAAAAAATTGAGAATTCACTGAAAAAAATATATAGAAAAAATGGTAAAGTTAATGGAAAAGGTGTGAGTAGCAATCAATCGGAGTACCGTCCTCATATGTGAGGGTTGACGAACTTGGCCACCACAGTACTCCACTCTACGTTCTAGGGCCGTTTTTACCAACTCTCCAGGGTTTTGTATCTCTGTTTTTAGACACTCTCATATCTTTCTAATTATTTGTCTAATTTTAGCTTTCTTAATGAACTTGTATCCTTTTACTAAATCATTTGAATTGTTATCACTTATGTTTTTCAACACTATTTGTATCCTCCTATGCTTAGCTTTCGTTTTTCTTTTAATTTTTAGCATAGTCTTATATATATTTTTTTATAATCATCTAAACGTGTGTAATGTGTGATTTTCATTGTACTTTATTTATTAATTCAGTAAAGTGTAGACCCCGGGAGTGCAGGGTTTATACAAGACGCTGCCGTCGGGCCGAAATAGCCGCAAGGCGAAGTGGCCTGGAGAAATCCCCACTCAAGCGAGCACTCACTATATGCTGAGTCATAAATCACTGTTGACGGTTTTGACTAAATTCATGTAAATCTCTGTCCGGCCGGGCATTTTAATGGTTTTAAAGTGTTCTTTTTGCAAACAAATTTAGATACTTATCTATATAGTCTTGTTGCAGTGATTTTTTTTTTTTTGCTTTTATATCATCGATTTTGAGGCCATATCATTTGTTCTTATTTATAGATACTCGATGTAGACGATAGTGTAGTATTAGTATGTTATGTATAACACATTAATACAACGGTAGAAACTAACAGCCCCTCTTCGAAGTGTCTTTTTTTTTAAGTCAAATTTATGGCAACACCAAAGTGATGGCATACCATAGTTAGTGACTCCTTGTGGGAGGTCCGCGGCCGGTGGGACAGTCAGGCAATAGTGCTGAAGGGTATTAGCAGTAAAACTATTGTACAGTTAACAGGAAGTTAACATTAGGTACTCCGCTTAAAGCGAGCTGAGATATTATGTTTATGTCAAGTGAGTCCGGTCCACGTCGACGAAAATCAATTTATATGGGAAGGAAAGAAATTGATCAGTGTTGAATCGAGACCGGTATCCCGTTCCATAAACCTACGGCTAAACTTACTATCTTTCTGCTGCAGAGTAGGGAAGGTGCATGTACACTGTACAGTGTAGAACATCAAGGAGAACAAAACTTGACGAGTCAGCATTATTATTGAATATTAAAGCAACATGAGGCGGAATTTACCGGAAATGAATGACAAGACAATTGAGAACCAAGAAGCATGACATGTTAAGGGTAATGGAAGACATTTATTTAGGCTTGGGGGAGGAGAGAGCCTGAAGGGCACCTATGAGTCCATTATTAGTGGTTTACCAGTTGGGAAGTCTGCGGTTGACGTGCTTGTGAAGTGGGAGCCGTCGGTGTACAGCAGGAACTGAGGAAGACTCGGGCTATGGTCTCCCGGGTTTGTTCCTGAAGGAGAGTTGATCCACTTCAAGGTGTGAGTGAAGGACTGCATTGGACAGTAAGTTTTCCAGGGTGGAGAACTGTTTTCAACGAGCACATTTTTAACGAAGTTCTGTAGTGTAGAACAAACTATTAATAAGAGTAAGACCACCCAGACGACGTAGAGACAGAGGTGAGGTAGGCTGTAAGATGTTAAGGGTAGTGGACGGGGGTGCAAGGTGGAAAGTGAAAACATTTAACACTGAGGTAGACGTTATAGTATAGCCTCTCAACAAGTGCACAAGATTGAGACAAATTTATATGTAGACAATATCAGTGGAGGTGAGACAGCCTATTGGAGCTCCATCATCCGTGGACTTTACAAAGATACCTGAAGACCTGAAGCTGTCGAAAGAAGTTACCATTGATATCATATAAATTGGATAACCTTCATGAAATATTGTAACCATCCTTAAACTCGTCTTGTCTGTGGCTGCCTAACTTACTTGTTTGTGTGGGCATCGTGTGAGCAGCACCAGGCACGTACTGTACATTAATGTGTTATAAACTTCCTCACTGTCGCACAATTACCAACATGTACGTTATTTTTCTGATAATTGTTGTCTAGTATATATAGAAACTGTCTTTATGAACGTTCATATACCAAAATAATACTTTTTTACATTTTAACTGTGCACGTATATTGTATTAAAAAACGATTTTCACCATTAGAAACAAATTGTAAAAAATAAATAAAAATGAAGCCTAATACCGTAAAAAAAAAGGATTATACATTAAAAAAAAATCAAGCCCAACGAAGCGACAGCAGCCCAAAGGAAAAAAAAACCGGTTGCCAGCCAGAAACCTGTCTGTGATTATACTTGGTGGTATGTGGTTGTTGTTGGCGGCACAGTATATTGTAATTCACAGTATCACCTGTTAAGATGTCCTACTAAGTAATGATACAGGTGGACTAACGAGATTAGTGACGTGAGGTGTGGGGTGTTGTGATGTTGTACAGAGGTGTGGGGTGTTGAGGTTATACAGTGGTGTGGGGTGTTGAGGTTATACAGTGGTGTGGGGTGTTGAGGTTATACAGTGGTGTGGGGTGTTGAGGTTGTACAGTGGTGTGGGGTGTTGAGGTTATACAGTGGTGTGGGGTGTTGAGGTTATACAGTGGTGTGGGGTGTTGAGGTTATACAGTGGTGTGGGGTGTTGAGGTTATACAGTGGTGTGGGGTGTTGAGGTTATACAGTGGTGTGGGGTGTTGAGGTTATACAGAGGTGTGGGGTGTTGAGTTATACAGTGGTGTGGGGTGTTGAGGTTATACAGTGGTGTGGGATGTTTATGCAACTCGGCAGATAGCATGAGTGTTGTCTGGTGGGGCTGAGGATAATGTAATTCATATTTGGAAAACTAGGGTCAGGAGGTCGTGGTCAGGTGCATATGTTTGTACCAGGGGAGGTGGGCAGTGCTGGGGTGGGTAAGCATACCACTGCTGTGATCATAATCTTCAGTGAAAAGCTAAGGGAAGAACCCCAAACAGAAAACTGGCTTGGGCACTGTGAGGCGGATAATGGACATATTGCACACATAAATTAACAAGCACTAGCGAATGAAGATAATGCAAGATGTACAGGCTACTAAGGCAAAACCAACAAGCTGGGCTATTGGCAGTCCATTGCAGCTCTCCCTCTCCCCAGTTGTTGCAGCCACTATACCTGCACCACTGGATCAGGAAAAGGGAGAACCAAATGTATGTTCCATCTGCTAATTCTAATTTCTGGAAAGGTAAAAAATAAGATGCAAGAAAACGTATACGTATATTTTTTTTTATTAACGGAAGACTTACCTAGGTTGTATAGATGCGGAATTGTTATAATAAATTAAGAAATGGCCAGTCAGTCCAACGTCAAATTACTTTAACATTGATATACTTAACTAATACAAAGTAATTACCCTAAATTATTAGTAAAATACTACCCCAAGAAATCCTTAGATACCCTTGATTTTGCAAATGTTTTGCTTGCCCTAAATAAGGTCTGATTACCCAAAAATAGTTTATCGCTCTGGGAAAAAATATCGGATTTCAGTATTTTGGATAAAGGATGCCCAACCTGTAATACTTTATAAAAAAATTCAACCATTTGTTTATAAAGTGAATTAAATACAGTACAGTATTTCAAAAACATAGCTAACTTTTACCTGCACAACCCTGTACATACTGTACTGTACAATGTTCCATCACAAACACACAGCCAAGTTAGTTTAATCAATGTAATGAGAAAGTAATCTTATTTTTCTGTTTCTAAACTCAGAAAACTAGAAATACAGTAATGTAGATGCATGAAGGAAAAATATATCCCCGCCATTCATACGCAAACATTTTGGTGGATAAAACAAAAGTGATAATAAAACATATGAGTCTTATAAAATTCTTTATGTATGAATACACATGAGATGTAGTACATATCACCAAGAGACACAGGAAAACAAAATAAACTGTCATTAAAGTACATTTACACAATAGATATAACCGCAATCATTCAGTTTATGGACCGACTCTTCCACTGGTACCAAGAACCTCACCGTGGTGACGTACGCCTTAACAACAACTATCACAATTTGTTCCCGGCGATGGCCCACACGGTCTACACCAACTACGTAGGTCTAAGATATAGCGAAGAACTCGTGCGTCATCGAGAGAACCGTCTGCATCGGAGGCTACAATAAGCACCATAAGCATGTACTGATATTCTCTTCTGTCCTCACCACAACACAACACATGACATGCTAATACTGCACAGACCTTCATTGACCATGTCAACAGTACTGCACAACACCATCCTCTACATAGCATGTAAAGGGACTTTATTACTACATAGTTCTTCATGGAACTATATAGTAAAAAAATCATATTATCAGTAGAGCTTGGAAAATGTCAACATGCAATCTGTCACTCTAATCAGACACAGCATCATTCTAAGACAAGCCAACAATCCTGCAGTGTACAGTTCTATATCAAAGGTAAAAGTTTTACATTGTACCATCATTACCAGAAATGGTAAACTCTAGTACAGTATCTGGCTGTACAATCCTAGTTGGTATAAAAACCTGTCAAGTGAGATAAAAAGAATCACTTCAATGCAGCACGGCTCAACTCTGAAAGTCAGAATAAATGACTACACTGATGATGGACAGTACTTGAAATATATATATATACAGTATATATATCTATATAGGTGTATATATATATATTGTAGAGTGTATTTGTATCTAACATATGTCACTGTTAAAAATGAATGAACCTGACCTTGACCAGTAATTGGCAGTCATATAAAGCACCACCTTAAGTGGAACAAACCAACAGGTCTTGTGCTTCCATTGTTTATATAGTCATAGATCAACATAAACTCGGTTGCATTAAGGAAGTTCTCACAGATGGATCATGTAATGTTTGTACCTTAATGAGTGGATAAGTGTTACATTATCTAAGGGACTTCTAATATCTGTCAATATCATCAATAGGGCAACCTGAATTTTATTGTACACTGTAATTCTGGATAAAAAAGAATTCTCACTCAAAACTTCATTAATGAGACTCAAACTACTCCTTCTATAAACAAAAAACTTCAAATATCTGTAAGTGGCTCTGTAGTCCTAAGTGTATCAATCAGTATCTAAGTTACCAAGTAGTGTTTAGCATGGAGCACAAACTATCATCTTATACATAATGGATGCTTCAAAGGTCTTGGCCCTTGAGTCGTTTAACTGTTTGTCATCAAGTGTTCAAAATACAAGACATACTATCATTTATTTCTCAAAGCAACCCCAAGAGAAGAGACGGTAGGTACTGGAGTGTTGAAGGTGGCCAAACCAATACATGTCAACCCAATACTGTATATGAACACTGACTTGACCTAATGATAAAACCCTACAGAGCTAAACTTAAAACACCATTACTGTACTGTACATACAACTGTAATGATGGCCAAACATACCTCAGAAATATTACAAAACATGACACTCGCTGTATTAGTGATGATGGACTTATGAAAAATAAATAAATTTTCATACATTGTATTGTACTGTACTGTTGTGGACATGAATACAAAAAAAAATCAATTTGTGGTGTGGAAAGAAAATGTCAACTTTTAATCAACCCCTCTATGTGATATTGCCTAGTCTCCACCTAGCCTACCCTCCCTTACACCAGCTTCCTCCCTCTCTGCTGAACTCTTTTTTTTTTTCCACAATTGTAACAAAAAAAAATTACACAAACACCTTCATTCAACTCAGGACTATTACAGTACTTGTATTAATAAACAAAAGAACAGCACAACACAGGAAGTATATTGATTTCTTGGCTTTGTTTAAACTTTATCAATGCACACACATCATCTCTCAAAGTACCCTTACAAGAGGAGAACTTCTAGTACTGTATTACACACACACACACATGTACAGGTTCTCTCCGATTCGGTGCTTAACAAGTGTCACACGATTAACAACAACAAACAGACCTGGATAATGAACTTGTTCTTTCCTATGAATCAACCCGTATGACTTGACAGAAGGTAAGTTAAGATCATCGACTCTGAATAAAAGACGTTGACCAACAAGGACCAAGTGAAGAATTTTCCCTCTTGGATTTGTAATGTCCTTGTCCTTGTCCTTGAATTATAATGAAAACTTACCAACACTAACTTAAAATTCATTATCAACAATCCACAATTCGATGTCTAGTCGAGAAAATATCAGACGATCAATCATGTGGCTTGTTATTTTTTTTAGATCTTTCCCTTCTTTCATAATAACTAACTCCCCAAAGATCCCCATGAGCTTGGTAAGGTGTACTGTACGAATTATGTCTTTTAAATCTTCAGAGGGATGTGCAATTCTATAGAGTTTCTCCACTTACATACGTCTAATTATACGCATGTGGTAATCAGTCTTGTCGCTAATTAAAACTTAGATTTTTCAGAGCCAAATCTTTTGCAGGAAATGAAAAATGTGGTGTTTTTATCTGCATCATAAAAAGAGCTCCGTGTACCCCATGTAGGGCAGACACGCTCGATGGAAAGTAGACTGATAAACTGAGATATCAATCTGGACAAATGTAGCATAATTTCTTTAAATCCATGTTAAAATGTGTTACCTGCAGCTAGTGTTATATTGCTTGAGTTTGAGTAGTTGTGTTAAGTTAAGTTTGGTTAGGCATAGTCAGGTTGGGTTTGGTCTGGTCTGATGGGTTAGGTTATTGTTCAGACTTAGTTAAGTTTGGTTAGATTAAATTAGATAAAGTTAGGTTAGGTTAAGCTGGGTTAGGTATGTTAACTAAAGTGTTCTCTCTCAAAAGTCACATACGAGAATTTTTATCCAAACCTCAAGTGTCAGTTTAGGTAAGCATGTCAACTCTAAAGTGTCAGTCTAAGTGTGTCAACCCTAAAGTGTCAGTCTAAGTGTGTCAACCCTAAAGTGTCAGTCTAAATAAAAGTCTCGATCATGAACTGACAGTCTTATACTGTATTGTGTTATGAACAAGATAAATGTCAGTCAGTCAAATGTTGACAGTCATCTCCTACGCCAGTTAAATCTTCTCCGGATCTTACATCCATTTCTTACAATGACATCTCTGGTACATGTTTGTATTAATAAAGTTATTCTATATTTTTCACACACCCACCCATATTCTTACTTACTGTAGTTACCAGTAATATATTGGTTAATCTCTTTATTTATTATATGAGATAAAAAACAATCTCTTGCTATATGTGCCAGGTAGTGTGGAGTTTGACACATGGTAATGTACTCTGGAGACTGTTGTGCCAGTGTAAATGTCTGAGGTAATCTCTGTCTCATTCCCTTACCCACTCCTCTCCCCTCCCTACTCTGCATACAGGAAATGGCGAGAGATTAATGAGAGATTAACTGTACGTATAACTAGAAGCCTTTATCTGTTGTGACTTTTGTCTGTGTTGAACGTACGTATTTACAGTACTATTCTTCTCTCATTAATTATACTTGAAGACAACCTGGGACTTTGCTGGTCTTTGACACACAACTCGGGGAAGTACAGACCAAGGATAGCTTTTAACCCTGATGTTTCATGATTCCACCTGTAACCACTTCAGTTTAATATAAACTGAACCACTGATCACAGATGTAAAAAAAATAAAATAAAATAAAAAAATTAATAAAAAAATAAAAAGAGACTTGCATTGTATAACGGTAGCATAAATACACTCACAATGTTGAGATAAATAAACAGAGGTGCCAGAACTGAATGTAGAGATGTGTGGGCCCAGAGATCCAACTTTCATATGAGCTGCTGTGGTCACAAAATAGTCGTGTGTTTAATGGGTGACACTGGTCAAAGTTGCCACTAGACAGGTGTCACCTACTTGTTCTCCTCAGTCACAATTTCTTGTAATGTAAAAATAATAATTTTTCTTATAAAAAAGATATCAATAAGAATATGGTAAATAAGATATACCTGTACATGCATACATACTTAGATTGTGACAAAAACATGTCAAAACCCTATAGATAGACTATGAACGCCCCAGATGCACCCACTGGCAACCATCCCACATGAGTAAACATTAGAGGCCAGACAACTACCTTAAAAAAGTGAGAAAAAAAGAGAAATAATAACATAACTAAATGACAGAGAAAGGAATTCTACAGTTTGCTAACAGATAATAACAATGCAGAGCTCAGCTACTTAAATGTAACCTTCCAAAGCCAACTGCATCCTTTATCTTATTGGTTATATAAGATCTATTTCATAAAAGTGTTAATGTAGCTTCATGGTAGTTCCTCCCAGACCTGCCATCATTACCAGCGGCTCACAGGTAGCCAACCATCAGTGTTGAACTTCTCAGGATCAATTGCAACTTGGCATCGAGTCGGTGATCAGTGATTCATGTCACCGGTGAAGTGCTGTTAACAGCTGGCTGGATTTTCCCATTTTTCCAAAGAGCTAAAGTCATTTCTTGCTAGCCTGGAGATGGTTTGGAGCATCAGCAAACATGTATTTGAGACGGAAAGCTTCGGCAACTAAGAGACTGATCTCACTGTCGGACCAACTGGAGGTCGGCAGGTTCTGAAGCAGCAGCATGAGTCCCTGTTGAATATGTCCATCAGTTAGTTAATACTGAGAGTGGTTCTACACAGGAAAGGCAACTAAACCTCCCTTTTCCAGAATAAGCAAATATACTGTAAACTCCCTCTAACCTGGTTCCCCTTGCAAACTGGACTGGGGTCCAGCACTGTACACATGTATCCCCAACCAGGAAATCACAACTAAAATCCAGTTAGTATGGGGCAAAGTTTGCATAAGTCAGGGCTGCCACTATGGTGGCACAGGAGGGTAACTCAGCAACTACCTCTGAAGAGGCAGTGGAGATGGTTGCTGAGGAGCAATAAAGTGAAGTGTCTAAGATATATATATATATATATATATGGTGTACAGTATTGTACATACAGACCATGAAATTAGCAGTGAAAACATAATCTCCGCTCCACCTTCAGTGACATACATTGTAAGTGTCGTACAATCATCTCCTGCCTCAACCACCTCCTCATCTCAAGATTCAACTGCCCTCATGATCAGTGAATAACAAGTACAGTACTTTATTATTATCTCAACAAATATATCATGGTGCAGTAATAATGTATACCAAATGAAACTCTTCTACTTTGTACAATTCTCTTATCATTCTCCCATTATACTAGGTTATCGCTACGAGCAAAAATATTAAAGGGAGCAAAAAAGTGTCTAAACTTTTATCCATAACAGCTGTTCTAATAGTGTAAGAAAGATGTACTTGGTACTAATGATCCGGAATAAATGATCTTCAAGTTTGCTTCAATAAAATATCCTTACACAAAATATTTTGAAAATACAGTATAATGTTTATACTGGAGTCTATAAAATCAGTTGTAATTAAGTTAGAAACACATTTTTTAACCAAAATTGATCATGAATACTTACCTAATGTTTGTTTAAAAAAATATATATACAGTATATGAGAGGCAATTAAATGGAGGTATTTTGGGAGTGTGAAGCTTGAATGGAGCTGTGTCACAGCCAAGACAATACACACTGCTGACAGGTGTACTAGAGCTCCCAGCAACAGCAGCCACTCAGTGACTCACTGAGTACGGCTGAACTGAGAGGGTATGAAAGACAAATGGAAATTTTTTTTTTCATAGATGTTAAAACCGCAAGTGGCTAAACAGCGTTCATGTGCTGTATAAAAACCACGAAAGTGTTAAGTCTGGGTTAAAAATTATAGTAAGTTTGGTGTTCTTAGGTGGCTTGAGTCAGAAAACCCCATCCTATGGAATTTTCCAACCTGCAATATCTGTAGACAATACAGACACCCACCAAATCCAGACAGGCCTTCCCCTAATTACACTGTACAGTCGTCCAAATTAGAGAGTTTACTGTATATCCAGGGTCCTCAATCTAACTTATCACAAGAACCACAAGCTGTGACTCACAGACCATTCTCAAAGTCAATGTGACATTACATAACATTGAAATCTAGTCCTCATTAAATGGATTATCCACAGCACTAAGCTACATTGAGATTGGATAAATGTACTAATAAATCCAGGGAATACCCATCAAACATCATCAAAGAGCCCGAAGTGGAACAAATGAATTATTTAAAAAGATCAGCCCTCACACGCATGGAAGAACAATCTCTGCCTACAAGAACAAGCTCTGTATGAAAACTTTGGTATTTATTTGTAAAATATAGAATTGTTATGGGTGACCTTGTCCTGAATTTTGGGGGAGTAACATTCACATTAAATAAGAAGGGAATTGGAAGAAGAATACTAAAGTTACTTAGTGGAAAAGAACTATTTATCAAAGAGACAGATAGCCAGTCAGACACAACACAGTAACATAGTACTGCATGCTCCTCAATACTGCACGTAAATAAATAGTATCTCTACCTGAAAGTCCCTCTGGGCCATTAGATGTTGTGAGAAGTACTTGAGGAAGGCAGCACACACATAGAGCACAAAGTGAGAAAAACCATCTGGTTCTGCATGTAAGGTGTCCCAGAGCCGTACGGTGCACCCCAGTGGCATCTCGCGCATCAGCAAGTTGTTAAACCAGCGGAAAGAGAACTGAAGGTAGTCTATCTCGTGCCTCTCTAGGTGCTGGTGGAGACTGACTGTGGGAAAACAAGACAAGGAATCAATAACTGTAATGATCTGTTAAATTGTTATGGAAATGTAAGTCATCAAAGCCATTCATGTCTGTCGTGCCATGAGTAACGTCTCATGACGGAGGGACGTATCTGAATAAATGTCATTGCAAAGAAGTGCAGAAAATGGTCGTTAAACAATGATAATGAAGATAAGAGATAGATCCTTAATTGTAATCAAGAAATAGAAGAAAAAAATATCTCAAGTGAATCAGCCAGGGTTCACTTTATAAATGACGGGTTGAAACAAAACATCCTATTTTATTATTGAAGGGGAGTGCTGAGTGACCTATTAGAGTGGATCAGCTAGAACATGCCCTGACAGAGCCTGCCAATGGAATTACTACAGACCATCTTCTCACCCATCAAACCAAGGCTGAATCAATACTTTGAATTCCCAGCCTTGAAGTGAGGCATCAGGTTCACCATGACAAATGCTATCAGTTGGTCCACTTCTCCATCAGACTTGTGTCAGTCACAATAGGGACCCCCAAGCTTTAATCCTCATATCCTCCTGCCAATAAGGACCCCCACCCAGGGAACAGTCTGTGCTTTATCCATACAACTATCAACATACAATAGTTACAAACAAATTACCACTAGAGGAAACAAATCTATTTATGTCACGTCCATTTGTTTTAGTTATAGTTTTAAGGAATCCAATACAAGAAACTCTGACTTTATAATTTATTCCCTGTAGGCAGTAAAGACTAACTCACCATCAATTCTCTTCATAAGTTCCCCAAGTTGTTGAACCTTGGTCTGTATTCCCGGCTGAGCGAAGGTGTAATTATCCTGGATGCCGTCGAGAAGCTTGGACATGCACCAGAAGCTGTCCGCCTCCACCACTGCCCGGTCTTCCTCTGCTATTAATTCCACGTCGTACGTGTCTAATTTCTCTTCTGTCGTGTTGAAAGTTGTGTGGTTAAAAGGAGGAGGAGGAAGAAGAAGAATTAGAGAAGGAAGATAGAGAATAAAAAGGAGGAGGAGGAAGAAGAGGGGGAAGAAGCAGAAAAGGAAAAAATAAAAAACAGAAGGATGAGGAGGAAGAAAGAAGAATAAGAAAAAACAAGAGGAGGAAGAAGTAGAAATGGAAGAAAAAGAGGAGGAACATCATCTATAGAAATCTCACATTCATTCAATGTTCCTTTCCCAAACATCTAATCATTATCATATCTTTGGTTTGGTTCTAAGACAACTTTCTCGTGCACAGTTTCCCCTAATTTCCTGCAAATGAATGACGTTTTTATCTAACTCTTTTAGAAGTCTTTTCCCACTATAGTGCTAGATGATGCTGTGATAAGAGTTTTATTCCACCTCAACAAGGACCTGGATAATTGCCATCTGCTTTGTGGGTCACTTTAACGATGAGACACACCGACATATTTCACCTGACAATTAAACACCCGAATGCAAGCCTAACCCAATGCTAACTTAACCTATACCTAACATATAATCTAACCTAACCTAATGCTAACATAATCTAACCTAACTTCTCCTAACCTCCCCACAGGTAGTAACAGGGTTTCTCTCTCCCTCTCTCTAAGCACTATTTTCTAGGTGTTCATTTCTGTTCTATCACTCCGAGAAATAAAACATTACAGACACTATTTTTCATATGAAGAATATAAGTCCAAATTAGTCTATATGTCTATATTTCCCTTTACTTATTACTGTAATTAATTTTCTCTACATTGTCAAGTGTTAAAAGACTACATCAACATTTCTGAGTGTTGGCTGAGACATAAATACAAACTGTTTCGGATGGTTTTCTCACAGAACTAAACACAAAGGAGAAACAAATGAGGTGTATAGAATTAGCAAGGGCTTATGTCTGAACATCTCAAATCATCTCAAATTTCAGGCTGTAGTGTATGTTTTCTGCCCCCGTTTAACTTATGGGGATTGCACCATACTGGAGGCATACCCACGTTGCCCGACATCATTAACTGGAAAAAGAATACTGGGGCTATGGACTGATATATAAAATGGGAAATTGAGCAATCCGGTGATATGTCCTTGCTATTCCAAACGCCTCAGATGAAATAACCATAATTCTATGATCCCCCAACAACCAGAGATCATGTCTATGACTGTACCAGTACCTCTGGGAACCACTTCATGAAGGAAGACGATGAAAAATGGAGTGACCAGGTCATTAATTCCTTGAACATAACCTGAGGCCGGATGCCTGATGGCCCAAATGTACAATATACGCTCAAACATCTCCTGCACGATGGTCTGCTGGAAGAGAGGCACCAGAGGGGACATCCTTGGGATATCTATGTGGATCTGGAAAAGAAGAAGCAGAGCATTAATGTATCAATCACAGACAACCTATGACTATATCAGTGGCCCCAACACCTAATATTATCAATCACAGACAATCTATGACTATATCAGTGGCCCCAACACCTAATATTATCAATCACAGACAACCTATGACTATATCAGTGGCCCCAACACCTAATATTATCAATCACAGACAACCTATAACTATATTAGTGGTCCCCAACACCTAATGTATGAAGGCAGGTCACCACTGTAATGTTTCTGAAACCTTCACATACTCTTTCACCGCCATCATCAAGACAACCTAACTAACTTCCAAAGGCTTCTAGGTTTGTTTTCATGACATCTGATACTGAGGAACCTATTTCAGCTTTTAGTAATGGGGTGTTCTGTAATCATCCTCTATGTGACATTTGAATTAAAAGTACAAAGAAGAGATAAAACTAATTATGAACTTACAACAGGTTAATTAAGACCAAACGATATGCAAAATCACATAAGGCATTTCTTGCATTATAAATCTAAAAATTACTATCATTCATTATCAAATTTATCGTTTAATAAAAGCTATCCACAGCACACAGTTACTAAGGACATCCTGTGGAACCCCGACGTATCTAAACATAAAGGAAGCAAATATGTTCTTAATTTTATATCTTGCATCACTTGTGTTACTGGTTTTTCTATTTTCTACACTGGCGTTTTTTTTCTTCTTTTTTTTCTTCTTTTTTCCTTTTATTCTGATGCCCTTGTTTCTGCTGCTGCTATCAAAGATGAGTTAGTTACTTTCACAGCCAAACACCTCCCCTTACATCCCTCTGGTACAGTTCAGTAATCCATCACCTTACACAGTGGATATGTCCCAACACAGATGTATTCCAGGATATATTGTGTTTTCTCTAGAACAACAGGTCAGCAGCATTACCCAGAGTCACTACACATCCGAGGTTCTGTTAAATTTGCACCTACATATGAAAAAATATAGGTAGGGTAGTTATATTTAAAGTGTGTGTAAACAAAATATGTACTGCAAAAGGATTAATGTACTGTAGATCTGATCCACTTTTCATATTGGCGATACAGTATAGCTCTTCTCTCTCTTTCATCACATCTCTCCACATTCTCAAACTCACGAAGAAATTAAACCTCACCTGCCTAAAAGTGTCCTGGTAAATATCTTCGTGGCGGGTATCATAATACTGCTTCACAAAACTCCAATATTCTTCACGTTTCCGCTTCAGGGTATCTTCCCGCCTCTCTGCATTAGCTGGGAGGTAACCCTGTCACAGTGATGAAAGGAAACAACATATGAAAATACAGAAATATATACAATAATGCTCTAGGAAAGGTAATATTAAAAATCTTATTATGAAATTATAACCCCCTTCACTCTGGGACACCGCTTTTAATATTCTTGGTGACTAACACTAGACAATTTTATTCAGTACAGAGGTGATCCCATGCACAAGGAGGCTAATATATAAAATGCCGTCATATATACCTGGAGTCACGTAAGTCATGTCATTTACCACCATGCAGAGAAGCCACCTAATCACCGCCACACAGTACAAGACTTACATTGAGGAGTCTCCACGTGACGGCTCGCACAGGAGGCGCGATCCCTGACCAGGAGAGTTTCCGCAGCTCCATTAAGTTGGTGCTATTGCTGGAGATTAACTCTAGGAACTTCTCTTGCTTGACCATGTCTCTCTCATTACCTGGAATAACACATGGGAGGTGACATTTGCTATAAACCTCTCCTAATACTGTACTGTATACTGAAAACTTATACCTGGAATCCAAGAAAAAAAAATGGATACGCACTGCCTTACAAATATTTTGTGGAGAATATGTGAATATATGCATTACACCACCAACCTTGTCCTTAATTGTTGTGTGAGGTCTCCCACTGTTGCTGTTATATGAATATTCATGTGATCTCCACAAAAACCTGTAAGGCAGTGTGCACATAAATTTTTGGAGACACTGTATAAAAACTGCAATTGGAGAAGAACGTCATGAAAACTACAGTATATTTATAGAGATGTTTTGGAAAGCAACATTCAACTGAGGGAAAGTTAATTATGGCATAAACTCTAATTAATAACCTAACCTATAAAGTAATGAGAGAGAAAGATTGAGAGAGAAGAAAAAAAGAGAGAACAAAGAAAGAGGAAACAGTTAAATTTCTTCTGTAGCATCATTTGTCTATGAGTAAAAGTACTAATCCTAAGTGACTGACAAACTAATTGACTGGTAAACTAACTGACTGACTGATCGAGAGAACTTTTAAACAAACCTAAACTGCCACAACTTATGACGGACTCTTAGATCTTCACTGCAGTACGAGGTGAATGACATACTTTGTAATTATTATCCCCGACTAGAAGTGGCGTTGAAGTACTGCGGGAGGGAGTGTGGGGTATGGGACGGAACAGAGAGGCTAAAAGACAAGTAAATACTGGTTATAAGAGAGTTGATACCAGGAGGACGACCTGTTATGTGAGGTGGGTGGGTGAGTGGGGGGAGGGGGGCAGAGGGCAGTATATACCAACTCTCCATGTACCAAGTCTTCAGTACACAAGGAGACAACAGTGAGGGAAATGCTACAACTTACCCGCCTTCACTTCTCCAACTTAAAAAGATAGGAACACATCCACAGCTGGAAAGACCGAGGGCACCCTAGGCACAAACTAACTACCCTTAATATAGGTGACTATTAATATATCCATTTGGCTGCAGCACCCCAGTAATACTATACTGTACGTCCTAAAAATCAAATTAATAATTAATGTACCCCCTGGAGCCTAGCATAAGATGTAAAGAGGAAGAAACTCTATACAAATTACTACAGAACTTATTATTAAAAATCACCAAAATATACAAATAAAATTCTCATGTGGTGCAGATGGTAATATTCTTGATGAAACATAAAGAGAAATACCAGCAGAGTTGAAATCGGAGACTGAAATCCATTATATATATCACAAATGGCCTAATACTAAGTGTTAAGCTGTAAGAGGTCAATTGAATAGCCAAGCAGTGTAAGTATATTTAATTAAAAATCACCATCATATCATAGATCAATTGTAAGAGCATTAATAATATTAATAATAAATCTATTAATAATGAGGAAATAATTAATAAAAATATTAAGCAGATTACTGTAGTTGGCAAGGGAGAAAAAAGTGGGCAAAGGGTTAACTGATTAGCAGACACATATACTAAGAGAGTAGCGAGTGAGTGAGCCAAGAGCGTGGGTGAAGGCGTTAGTGATTGGTTAGTAAAGACGTACTATAACAGATCAGTGAGTAAGTGAGCCAGCCAAGTGTGTGGGTGAAGACATCAACACATTATGACATATCAGTGCACGAGGGAGAGAGAGAGGTGGTGTGAGGAGGACAACCGGTGAGTGGAGTTGTTTACCCGAGGTACTGATGACTGGAGTCCTATGTATGACTGCTGCTGATGGGTCTAGTCTGGACAGAGGGAGGACGCCCTCAACTGTTTGTCGGGGGGGAAACACAACATATCCATGACATCAGTATTAGGATCAACTTATAATGATGGGTAGAGGATATGCTTCTAGCTCCAGGGTAAGAAATGTACTGTAACAATGTGATGGGGAACAAGGGTCATGGTCCCTACCTGCTCCGACAACTGTTATTAGATAAAAAGCATATGGACGTGGTGACAATACAGTGCTGTCTCCGGGATCCTATATCAGGCTCAAGTAATGTAGCAAGCCACAAGCTGTGAAGCTCAGGAGCAATAAGCATCTTCTCTCAATGGCTACAATTAAATGCTTTCCTGTCTGAGTGATTATACTGACATGACCATTAAACATTTTCCAAATACACTGTAATCCATTTTATATAATCTGTTAGTCAAATGAATTAACATGCATTACATCTCTCCTGCAGACACTCCTGGAAGATGACCGCACACTCTTCATGAGACTGGTTATTAGTACATGCCACACATGCATCGATACACTCCCACCCTGTCATAACGTTTAATGAACATGACCTCCAACTATCACCAACATTCCTACCCTCACATAAGGTTTGTGATCTCGTTATCTACTCCTACTCATAACGTTATGGATCTCATTATCTACTATATTACTAAAACGGTGTGAAATTTTTGTCTGGCTTACCTACTACAATGCAAAGTCGATACCAATATATTATACTTCACTTAAGCATGATCGACCAACCTTATCACAAAACCTCACAACTCATCTCATCCAAGCAAATTTTTTAGGTAAATGACTAAACAATAAATTCTAATCTCTTTTGCTGTTTCTTATATTACAAGCATTTTAATTATACATGTTATCCTTGCCATCAAACAATTTTCTGTTCTTCATGTGTTTTGCCAAGTGATTCCTCTGTGGACTAATTTACTAACTGACTCCATATTGATAAAGAGATTAATACAACCATGCTTCAACAATTCTTTACAGCCTCTGCTTACTTTTTAATTACCCAACACCGTTGCTTATTTTCATGAGGTAAATATAACTACATTTCAATAATTCTCTTTAGCTTTTTACTTTTTTGGGTCAATCAAACAGTCTGTTTATGCTCTCTTATCACTATGCACCAGAGCAATAGACGATGAAACTCCATCACAAATACCAACTCAACCTAACCAACGATTACTTTCTTTCACAAATTTGCAATCCAATCCTCTATATGAAGACCATTTTTCTAATGTTTTGCACCAATGGCCTGACTAACCCGAGGCAAACAAGAGGACCCACCATCACAGCACTAAGACCTATGATGACCAGCCAGCTCAACAACATGAATAGCCTGGAACTGAACACACAATGATTCCATTCATCTGTCTGTGTTTCTGACCATTTATTCCCTCTGTAAACTTGAGGGTTGGGTCCAGGTACTGTGCTATCTTCCTCCAATATATCAGCCGTTGGTCATCTGGAGGCAAGTGGTCGAATGGGTGCCAACCAGTCCACGACAGACCAGAATCTAAGCTGACCATTAGAACAAGGGCCTAGTCCAAATGGTGGGGCCCCCTCTCCTAATGATCGTGTAAGGTTGGGGCCTATGAGAACTAGGGACCCATTTCGACCTGAAGCATCATCACCTCTATCACATTAAAACCACACCTCTTTAGACTGCAAATGCATGTCATAGAATATCCTGATATCATGATATGACTGACCGAAATGCTACTAGGAGTGATGTGTTTATGGCTCAATGCATGAGGTGCAATTAGTATCCAGTCAATTCAATCAAATTTCTCTCATGGAGAATAACATGAGCTTACTCGCTGGCATACAAGGTAACACACCCGCGGAAGAGTGAATATTGTTGACTGGCGGATATGTTGTTACTTCGACTGCAGGTGCTTCTGTAGGGGCTATGGAAGGTTGGATCTGTTGGTGGAGTTCCGCTAAGTTACTGGTTGGCATTTGCCCAGATCGATGGCTGTTGATCACACTGAGGGCTGCAGACTGAACCATCCGATTTGATATTTTCACATCTGGAAGACGAGAAACATCACAATACTGTATATAATAAGAACAATAAGAAGTCTGCCCACATTTGATGCCTTACTTCCAGACCTACAAAAAGGTGGATAATGATAGATAATTTTAGGTACCAGTTACTACAAAGAAATTAGTCAAATATAAGTGAGTCTTATATCACTGAGCATAATGATTCACAACGGTGAGCTTTAGGGCATTTCACACAGAGGAAAAAAAAAGATTATCCTCCTTTACAAGAAAGCAAAACAAGCCGAATCAATTTTGTAGATGTACTAAAAAAAACTTAACAGACTTAATGTTTATATCACCTACAGTACCAGCAAAATGTAGTCAATGGGAAAGATAGTTTTAAAAATAGGAAAATGTTTATTCTATTGAAGGGAAAACCTGAACATTCATGATCTTGTGAGACCTGCACTGACCAGAATGGATGCAGACTGTACTGTATGCTGGGACACACTTCCCCTAAATACTGCATACCCCATTCCACCACAATGACAGGCTGTCCTGTGACATACACAAGGTCTGAGTAGGTATGCCACATGTCTCGGCACTGAAGCAAGACCTCACATTCACAAGGCTTCACCTTCACATTCCCCCTCAACTTGTATGTGACGTATGATGGCCGGCCTATGCGGCTGACACTATGGGCCAATTTGTAAATAGTTACAGTCGGCAGAAGAGAGGGGGGGACACAGTACAGCTAGGAGGACCATGCCCTTCCTCCCAACCCTTCGTCCAGTACCTGATATAACGCAGAACTCATCATCTCCACAGTCCCAGGCGTCATTGACTGACTCCTGGTAGTCCTGGAAGCTGTCACTCGGCTCTGGCTTCTTTTGGGTACTCTCCTTGCGGGGGCTTGACCTGAAAAATTAATACAAATATGTCACACATCCAAAAACATAAAACTCCACACAGAGGCATGACCATATATATATATATATATATATATATATATATATATATATATATATATATATATATATATATATATATATATATATATATATATATATATATATATATATATATATATATATATATATATATATATATATATATATATATATATATATATATATATATATATATATATATATATATATATATATATATATATATATATATATATATATATATATATATATATATATATATATATATATATATATATATATATATATATATATATATATACTGTATATATATACTGTATATATATATATATATATGTAGATATACACAGTATATATATATCCTGACCTTTACACTGTTGAGAGTTCACTAGCACACAGAGCCCTTGTATTGCTCTTAAGTTTCTATCGTCAGAGATAGCAGATATCTTCCAAGAGAAAAATCATTACCGTATCTCTAGCATGAAGTAAAATAACCATCTCTCTCTAAAGGCACACTGAGCAGCTACCAAGAGAGTGGTTTGCCCATGATATACACAGAGATTACTGTCTCGTATACAGCTTGTGTACACTGTAGTCATGTGAGTCAAAGTTAAGTCCAAAGAGGGGAAAAAATAAAAGAGTTATGTTCCTTGGTCTCAAAACTCCACATTAACCTCTCAAAATTTTCACTTTTCACTAAGAAATACATATGCCTGAAGGTGTTAAATATTATCAATAAACATTACTGAACCCCCCACACACAAACACACTACTGTACTGTACTGAAGATAATCACAAAGGTAATAAAGATAACTGTATCGTGTACTGTACTCACATAATCTGCTGTCCACCGGTCAAAGGGTGTGGGGGGCCTTCACGAGGCCGGCGTGTGAGGTGGTAGTCACTGTATGTAAATTATGAAGAAAAAAAGTTAAGCCCCTGTGAAAGCTGATGAGGAAAATAAATGTTCGCGAGAAGAATTGGCTACTTTTCAACTTCTCACTGGACACGACGGTGAGTGGCACCCTGGGAGGTCTCGAGCATATGTAGTGCCCCATATCTACACTGTACCTTTATGCCAAAATATTCAAATACACTTCATCAGTCTTAGATAAAGCAATTGTGGTGCAATACTGAACTATAAATCATAAAATTCTGTACACAAATTATCAAGAAAAAAACAAGAGCCCTTTAAAAATAAATGAGGAATCAAGTTACCGGTAATGAAAATGACTCATCTTCATATGATCACTGGGCAGACTTGTAGCAGCTCTGGTCAGTAACTGAACTAATTCACCACCACCTGTTGCCTGAGGTGATTCACTGAGTCACCATTATTCCATTATCTCAGGTTGACCAGAGGCAGCAGCATGGCACGCACGCACGCACGCACGCACGCACGCACGCGCACGCACACACACACACACACACACACACAGGAACATAATGAGACACGGACAAGAAGAAACTACATAGTGGTTGTATTTTCAAAATTTAGTACTGTAGTAGTTACTGGTTCCCTTAAATTTAATTACCTCATTTACTTCTAAATATGAACAGCTTTGGGCATCCACAGGATATATTTCAGCAATGGGCAAAGTTAACAAAATGGCAAGAACTGTACAGCCTCTATACAAAATCTGCTGACATATTTGGTGACCTTTATTGGCATGCAAAAGCAAAATTCTTAAGCAATTATTATACTATACCATCTTCTCATATTTCCACAAGGGGTAAATTGTTTTAAAAAAAAGTTATGCTCAGTATTTTAATTAATGATTTTTTTTTTTACTGTACGTACCACAATTGCATCATGTAAAAGGAGGTTGTGTATTTAAAATTTTGAGGTCTAAACATACGTCATCCATGAGTCTGGGAGATATACAACAGATGCCTCAGACACACACCCCACGTGACCACCGTCCTGTACAATGGCAACTCAAAAGACGGACAAATTCTCTCGGTAAAATTGATTTCCTCATTTATCTTTGCAGTTGCTACCTTTTTTTCACATTTCACATACTACAGCTTATGTACAGCACAGCATTTTTAAACTTCATAGTACCATAATTCGCATCACACAGAACTGAATTTGTGCATCTCAAATTTTGGCCAAAAAGCATGTGACGCATTATATATCTATATAGAAACTAGTGTAGCTATTTTCCACAGATGGAAGGTTTATTGCATCTCATTAACCATTTTTACCATACAGCAGACTAGACTATGAACACCCCCAAGTATCTTCAGGAAACTTAAAACACCTCAACTACCCTCACCAAGATTACAGGTTTTTTCTAAATACTGTTCTGTAAGTCTTCGTTTTATTCTTTTACATTCAGCACTCCTCCCTCCCTCATATGCTCCACAAAAGTCCTGTAGTCTCCCAGTTAAATGAGTTTTCAATATCTGTGGCTTCTGATCCTATCGACTTCCTCAAACTCTACAGCCTACACAATGAATGACAAACTTCCTCATACTCTACAGCCTACACAATGAATAACAAACTTCCTCATACTCTACGGCCTACACAATAAATGACAAACTTCTTCATACTCTACGGCCTACACAATAAATGACAAACTTCCTCAAACTCTACAGCCTACACAATGAATGACAAACTTCCTCAAACTCTACAGCCTACACAATGAATGACAAACTTCCTCATACTCTACAGCCTACACAATGAATAACAAACTTCCTCATACTCTACGGCCTACACAATAAATGACAAACTTCCTCATACTCTACAGCCTACACAATAAATAACAAACTTCTTCACACTCTACAGCTAAACAGTGAATGACAAACCTCAATTCATGAATACCAAAGTGACCTACCCACTGTAGCTTTAACACTAACAGCAGAATAGATATTGCATTCATGAAATTCCCTTGTATGTCTAAATAATAATTAACAAGACATAACGTTTACCTACATGTCTATTTAATACAATATATGACACTAAATTTCTTTATATGACACTAAGTTTCTTTATGACAGTAAGTTTCATTTCTTGCCTAACCTGAGGTGAATACTACATAGCTTACAGTTTATTCACAAGTTTTCACTACTGCCTGATAACACACTTAGTATATAACTATCTACCGCTCAAAGACGGTGACGGCAGAAGCCCTTACTTGGGAGAACGCGTGATGGGAGGATGCATGGCACCATATACAGCTCGCATGCTGAAATACAAATAAAAAGAATGAAGTCAGTCATCCTCCGACAGTGACAAGCTAAAGTGACTGACACACACACACACACATATATCTACTACGTTAGCATTTCAATCTGGGATATTTTAATAAGATGCACAATATAAGCCTTCTCACTAATCTATAGCCAACACTAAACATTCAAAATTCCTCTCTAGTCGTATTGTTCAGGCAGCAGCACCAACTTCCTCATTAATGAGTGATAAACTAATGTGGGGAGCTATGACACACGACGATGAAGGCTAATTAAATCATTGTTTAATCGTCTTGAATAATAAAAAATACACGAGCCTCCCGTTATCCAAACAATTACAACAAACATCATTTCGAGACACAATCGGCTGTTCTTGTTACTCGTTATGAGGTAAGAAGGCCACTACATCCATGAGCTTAAGTGTAGAGTACTGTATATAAACTATCACTGATGTAACTCTGGCTCTGGCATAAATGCACCACTGAGTAATGTCAAACTTTAATAATAAAAATAACAATAATGACAAAAATATATGGTAATAATAATACGGTAATAATAATATTTCTTCAGTCAAATCAACGGACAAGTTTGCAACTGGTGGCATGGACGGTACATAGACAATGCAGGTATACAGTTCTGGATGTGTATAGACAATGCAGGTATACAGTGCACACAGACCATATAGGTATACAGTTTCCATTATACAGTACCTAGACAGTGCAGGTACACAGCAAGGCAATATAACTAAGGATAGCAGACAGTCATCAAATGCTTAGTTCCAGTAGAGTCCTTTGGTCTGTTTCTCCTAAATTAAACATAATTCTGTGATTTGTTGGCTTTCATTTGTCAAGAGTGAGTGAGTGTAGCACATGAAAGCAGTGTTGTACTTATTTCTTTGGTAGTAAATTCAAAGTAATGATTAAAACAAGCATCCACGACACATTACTTGAAGAAAATGCACAGATGATTGTTTTAATACAGGCTTGGACAAAAGAAGTACTGGGAGTAAAAACAAAAACAAAAAAAACACCATCACGGTCTACACATCTTCATTGCTCTAGTGAAGTAAAGAACAACATCACTTAACGATGGCTGGTTGCAAGAGGAACTAACTACAGAACCCAACCATGCACTACTGAATACTACAGAAGACTCAGTAGCTCATTCCTGCCATAACCAGATATCACACAGTAACAGTTTCTCTTACTTCACTGTGGTACTGCAGAGGAGGAGGGAGAGGATATTTACTCTTTTAGCAACACATCATTAAATTTACGGTAGCTGGAACTGTACAAGAAGCATCACTAACCTAAGACACAGCATAGCCAATATTAACACTTTAAACCTAGATAATTACGTTCCATCACTAAGACTCTTGTTACTTCCTGGATATAAAAAAGGAGTGAGAGAATTTACGAATTGGTTTAACACTCGTAAAAATTTCCACTTTGAATAATTTTTTTTTTAAGTTTCCTGTCGATTTACACACCAAAACACGACAAGACAACCACTCAAACACACACCCACGACACAAGTACACCATCAAGTTATCCTATATCTTACATAAAGACAGGAAGCCCCCCAAAGACAGTGACTAAAGCGAGATACAGTTTAATAATAGGAGGCGGGGTTCAGTCTGCTAGTGACCACCAGACACCTCACCTCTTATTTCTCTCCTTCTCAACCTACCTCCCCGGTACCGACTTGCTATTCTTCTTCCAAAAGTTCTTTCCATTCTGGGGATCAAGTGATTGCATCTTATGTGGCTAAATAATGGAAGCACAGCCAATATGGGGGGGAGAAATGAGGGTTACATTGACCACTTCTCCATGTTTGCCAACACAATACCGGGGTGGCGACACTCTCTTGCTCCTTCATACCATCACCTTTAGGCTTCATTTACTGCTCAAATAAAAATAACAATGTTTTCTCTTATTGTCTACTATGTTTTGCTTTTCGTGAAAATAACTTATTCTACCAGTGTGAAAAGGTAAAGTGATAGATGTTTTAGCATAAGTTACTGTCTTCCAGAGCGAAAAAAAAGATATGACAAACTACTTCACAACCTAAAAGAGGAAGATAATCATTGATGACCATGTTAGATATTTAATTGATTACAATTTTATTGGGTGTGAAAAAAAAGCTTACATATTATTCCTTTCAGATGCAAAATACGATCCTGGTTTTGAGATGGAAAGCAGATTTAAGATATCTTGGACCATAAGTTCTTTTCTTACAACAAACCTTCTAGAATTTAAGAAAGTATAATATAACACTATCAACATATTTCCATTTCAAGAAAATTTGAAGTGATGTACCAGAGTAGTGACGTGTCACTCCCGAGTGAGTGTCATCATCCCGCCATTACGTCAAAAATTAGACCGAAATTTTCACCGTGACGAGACGCCTCAGCAACTATTATGTCTCTTCATAAGATACACACGGGGTGAACTTTAATATCTCTGGCTTGAAAAGTATTTGAGGACCCCATAATACTAAGTAGAAATATGCTGACTCTTAGACGATAATAGGATAGAGTTGGTTCAAACGAATGTAAATAAATATATAGTACAATAGATAGTACTGTATATGGAGAGAGAAATTACAATCGCTAATGATCAGTGAAAACAATTTAAAAAAAATATATATATATATATACAGTATATATATTTGTTTTCAAAATATAACTAAGAATGAGAACAAATGCAACATAATAAGTGAGAGAATGAGGAGTCCGTAATTGTTTAAAGGATATTAACCTCTGGAAAGTCCTATTAAACTTACAGCAATATGTAGTTTTAAAAAGAATGACGGCATTACTTTATTCAACTTATTAAACCTACGCCAACACGACCCAGGAAGTCTACCTACCTGGCGATGGCTGATGTAAAAACTAGTTTATTCTGTTAAAAGCCACAAACCTTTCGGAAACGTTACAATACATAGTTCAGGGATCAACCATAGACTGCGGGTTGAGGGAGTCAATGCATATTAACTTATTTACGATCACTTAACACATACAACAACAAAATAAGGACATAATGTTTAGTATAATGATTATGATAGCTTTGTTAGGTTATTTTTGGTTTCCATCGAGTCTCCCTCCCCCTCAGTCGATACTAATTACCCCATGGGGTATTTTTCAGTAAATATCGTCAACTGTGAAAAAATTACTTATAAAAAGTTTAGTTCTTATCGTCCATAACTAATCTCTCATCTTCATTTCAGCCATTGCATTATGCAGTCAGTCGCGTGATATCCTGAACGAGTAGCCAGTTACTCATTTGTATAGTAATCCCGTTATTATGCAATGTGGCTCACTGCTCAGTCGCCTCAGTGGCAAACGGAAACAGATGTTGTCAATGAGTGACTCAGAGGGACTCACAGAGGTTGTCAGCATCTTACTGCACTCTGGTGTGACAAGACTGTGTATACTGGATGTGTGGCAATACAGTACTACTACTTGACTGTGTATACTGGATGTGTGGCAATACAGTACTACTACTTGACCATGCTACTGTACTTAGGAATGTTCAACTGTAACAGAAATTTACGGAAACTATTTTTAGTCATGTAACGTTAAGAATAAAGACCTCTACCTTTTTAATATTATTTGTAGTGGCTAGAATAATAGTTTGTCTATATTGCATTCGGTACAGTATTTCTATAGCATAAAACCCTCTTAATCAACAGTGTTTATTGTCAGTTTAGAGCTTGGTAGCACAGTAGAAATTCTGCATAAATTTATACCATGGGTGTTGTCCTGTGTAGTCCAACCACACCTAATGTCAGTGAACTTTCTACATTGCCAGTAGTACTATAGTGGATTTCTCCCCTACAAACGCTGTTTGAGTAGCCGACCCCACGAATTCCCCAGTGTATGCCTCGTGGTCTAGGTTAACCAGCACCGCCCACAGAGCGGGGGTCAACTACTAAGCCACGCCTACCCCCGCTATTTAAGACCTGACCTCGTGGTGATCGCTCTCTTTCTACCTACACCAACCAGCCAGCTACACCTCCTCCTCCGCCTGCCTGGCGGTCCTCGCTCCCGCCGGCGAGCATGGCGACCCACAGGCTGGTCCTCCTCTGAGCACCCTCACCAACCAGCTCTCTCTACATCACGCTTGTAACCATGCTGCCTTCCCAGCACCAAGCTGCATTGTACATCCAATACAACATGTACATAGAGAGCACATTGTGAGTTTCCTTTCTCCATCCCATCCTGAACGAGAACACAAACATCCCATACCCAACAAGCTCTTGAACAGGACGTGTGTATTTACCGCAGTGAGAAGGCTGGCTCTCTCTGGGTCCGGTTGGGGTAAAAATACACGTCCTATACACGACAGACTCGGGACAAACGAGCAGTGCCTCTCTCTCTCTCTCTAAAGTTGTATCAAGTTATTACATATTTTCATTAATTTTACTCTGACAAGGAATCCAAAATATTGTATATTTTTTTAATAAATCCTTGTGGGCTCCATAATATGGTTCCATGGGCGCCAAGAACTACAGATTGGGGACCACTGCTCTAGAGACACAACAGGGGCCTCGAGAGCAGCCCTGATGAGAACTAGGATCAGGGTAGACACTTCTCCAATACAGGCAACAGAGGCTGCTGACGACGACAGGCGCCCTCGTTCTGGTAACACCACTCAGGCTGGATGCGCTCGGCCTGAACACCTCGCTTTACAAGTCTCTGGCGGTGGTGGATGAAGCGGGTCTCTGCTGGCTGCCAGTTGGTGCGGGGGTTTGTCCACAGTCTCTCTGCCAGCGCCGCCCCACGAGGCCACAACTGTTGTACATGGATACATAGATATATTAATAATTTTATGTGTGGTCCTCAGTCTCTCCACGTATTGATATCACTCACTTATATAAAAAGTATAACGCATTTTGACGGAAACCATTGCCGACATTCAGGCGCCCCTCGGCTTCCTCTTCTCCCCCGCCCTCTAGTTAACATCGTACATACTTATTTCACTAAATAATTCTTGGAAGTTCTGAGTAAACAATAAACTATTGACTAGAGGTTTATAATACATTAAAGCTAAGCTAACCAAACCTAACATAACGTACTCTAACCTAACCTAGGTCTTCCATCTTGTGTTCGGACTCGCATGCTTGTTTCTACTGTATTTGGCTAAGTTAGAGATGGAACGTTTTTGGAAGACAAGGACGAATTCCTGTTTTCTAATCACGATGGTATCACAGGTTTTCAGCACTATCCTAACTCTTGACAACACAGACAAATGCTGAGGCCTCGTGACTCACCTTGGCGTCCAGACCAGATTCGTCGACTTGCTCACTCCACATGGCCGCCTCACCACCCACGATCTGGTCACTTCGAGAGCTCCCTGTCTGCCTGGTGGCTATGTCGTGGGGACTGTGGTCGTACACAGTTTGCCAGCTATTGTAGGGGCTGCACCAGTTGTTGCCCTCCCCTAACCAATCCCCTACACCACAGTCCAGGTACCAAGCGTCGTAGTTACTAATGATAAGACGGTAGTTCTTGCGTAGAAGCTCCCCGATTATGGGGTCGGTGGTGCGGATGACCCGCATCTGGATGATGAACTGCGATTTGTTGACGTACTGCTCTACGCGGTCAGCTACCGTCAGGCTAGATGCCGTCACGATGCCGGCCACTTCGACTGCGTTGTTAGATTCAGTGAACAGCTTTTGAGCCTTATTCAGAAACACGCCCCACTGGTCATAGTAGGCGTCAGCGTCAAGGCTGTTGTTATTGGCGGTCATCCAGGAGGTGATCTCCTCCGTCGTGTTCCAGCAGTTGAGGTTCACCTGTAGTGTACGACAACCACCTCAACAAGTGTCCTGAATAAACCGAGTTAGTGGAAACCATGTAATGCCGGAGCCATGGGCGAGTGAAGAGTAGGAGTGGGGAAAAATATGAAGCAAAAGAGACAGAGATAAGACGCCCATCGTTAAGAGTGAGGTGAGGCCTACAAAGGCATTTAGTGTTTTAGTCTAGTTGCATGACAGGTGTACACGACAATTTCTTCTAATACAAGCCCTCATTCACCTGTCTGCTAAACCTAGGATTCTTCCAAAACTTTACAAAACTCCAAATTTTAATCGATGCAATTTTGAAGATATTCCCTGTAAATAAAGAACAGATACTTTTTTATGTCAGTAACCCATAAATGTAATCATCTCTTCCTCAGTATTTATCGGTGATATAATGGATGAACCCCAAATAAATTAACTGAATATAATCTCTGAATATATCTGACTTTTATAGTAAACTTGACCAGATATCAAAGTTCACGTATTGTTCCCTCTGCGTTGTATTGTAAGAAAGTATTAAGCAGAGTTGACTCACCTCGTCTCCGCCGAAGTGGAATAGGTCAACGGGGCTGAAGACCTGAGCCAACTCCTTATAGATCTTGGCCATCACAGTGTACATGTTGGGGTTGGCGAGGTTGAGCTGACCACAAGGCGGCTCAACACAGTATGACTCCCACGGTTCCTGAGGGCATGAGTGAGGTTTTGATAAACGTGAAGAAGATAAATTTTCCACGCGGTGTGAAGGCATGGTGGTTCGTGAGGACATGAGTCAGATGGTAGTTTTATAGTGCAATATTTTACTTCCAAAACTAAGGGTTATAATCGTGTACAGTATTCGAGATTAGTGCACACGCTAGTCTTGAAGAAGGTCGTTCAGATATCTTGACGGTCTGTCCCTCGTAACGATCTTCAAGAGTGAAGTGCTTCCCCATCTGGAGTACTGTCACCCCGTCTGGTCCCTGAGATATGCTCGGGACTGTCAGTTGGTTGAAACTGTTCAAAGGAAGGCCACCAGACTGGTGCCTGCACTTCGGCACCTCAACCAACCTGAGAGATTGGAGCGC